GTGGGGTCCTTCATGATGCAGGTGGCCCTCTTCCTGCATCTGGAGGTGTAGATGTCTGTGATGGTGGGGAGGCTGACTCCAACATCTTCTGTGCAGCCTTCACCACTCTCTGCAAAGCTTTTCTTTCTGCAGCTGTGCAGCCTCCATGCCACACGTTGATGCTGGAGCACAGGATGCTCTCCACTGCACACCTGTAGAAGGAGGTGAGGACTGAGCTTCCAGACCAGCTCGTCTCAGCCGCCTGAGGAAGTAGAGTCTCTGATGAGCTTTCTTCATCAGGCTGGTGGTGTTGTTGCTCCAGCTGAGGTTGTTGTTCAGGTGCACACCCAAGTACTTGTAGCTGGAGACCACTTCCACCACAGATCCTCTTATGTTCAGGGGGGTGTAGGTGTGTTTGTTCCTTCTGAAGTCCACAATCATCTCCTTCATCTTCTTCACATTGATGTGAAGGTTATTCTCTTTGCACCAGCTCTCCAGGTGTTCCACCTCTTGCCTGTAGCTGGACTCATCATTGTTTGTGATGCATCCCACCACCGCTGTATCATCTGCAAACTTTACAATGTGACAGCCTGGATGGGTAGCTGCACAATCATACGTGAGCAGAGTAAACAGGAGGGGGCTCAACACACATCCCTGAGGAGAGCCAGTGCTGAGGGTTATGGTGGAGGAGAAGTTGTGGATCCTCACTAACTGTGGTCTGTTTGTTAAGAAGTCCAGGACCCAGTTGCAGATGGAGGGGCTTAGTCCTAGTGTGGATAGTTTGTCCATCAGGGTTTGGGGGATCATGGTGTTGAAGGAGGATGTGAAGTCCACAAAGATCATACGGACGTAGGAGTCCTTCTGCTCCAGGTGGAAGACAGCAGTGTGGACCACAGATATGGCAAAAATTAAACATTTAAGTCTGGTACTAGAACCTTTTACATCATACCCACAGCTTGAAAGACAAGTATTATTAATGGAAGGGATCGGTGAACACCAAAATGCTTACTCAAAACCCAAAAAACAACTAAACTGAAGTGTCATGCAGGTTTAACCACTTGGATGTGTTAAAGGACACTGATACTTCTTGGTCATGTAAAGTTATTAGAGTAGCTCTGTAGTCACATTTTCACAGCTAAAATGATTATTGTCTGTGCAGCCTGGCATGTCCTCCTGAGTCGTATTTAGTGGTTGAAAAAAAGATCAATTTAAACTCATATTAGTCCACCACCCTGCTGGTCCACAAAAAATGAGCAAACTCAACACAATAATTAGTGACATGAGTATGAGTCGGATTCATATCCAGATGTTTACCTCACCAGCGTTAGCCTCAGCTGCAGCTTAATGTGGCTGTAGCTGACCCCAGGCTGCAAAGCAAGATGAATGCAGCAGACCCCAAACCATAGAGCAGGGTCGACGCAACGGGGCCTTCAGCTGCAGAGCAGGCTGGATGTAGCAGGTCCCCAGATGTTGGGTCAGCTGGATGTAGCAG